GAAGAGGTTGGGGTATCGGATGATAGCTTAGAGCACACCCTACCAGCCCAAAACCCTTTTTCTGAAAAAAAGTTAGATGGCGATGAAATATAGCCCTCGAAGTATACCTCATTTTCCGAAAAAAAATGCGTGCAAAATGACGGTGCCCCTACTAAGGACCACTTTCGGGTAGTGGCCGATTACGCAGGTTCGAAAGCGTTTCAAGACCTGAAATTTGGCACACAAGCTGGTAGTCTAATGTAGATTCCATAATAAAAAAAAATGGTCCACACCCGGGGACAAAATGCCTGTATCCCCGTTTTTTCGGCTCCATTACCGGGGGCGGAAAATACCCCTTTTGGGGGATAACGCGCGTTATTTGCCGTGAAACGATTCAACCGTCGTATTCTGACGCACGAATGACTCGTGCGCATCCTATTTGAAGTCACTAAAAAAAAATTACGACAAACGAGAGCCTACAGACGATGTTGTGGCTGTGCAAACATGGGGGTACTTTTCCTCCTTTTTTGACTTGGACGGCAGCAAGATCCGCCTGAAATCTGAGAAGAGTTTAAGCGACCATTTTTCACCCATATGAACCCCCCACCACACGCCGTTTGACAGAAACGCGCTGAAGGTTGCAGAAAACACGTTGGAAACGAAAAAAAAAAACATGCCCAGCCCAGGGGACAAAAGTACAGCATCCCCGGTTTTCTCCACCAACTGTTCGCCCGCCCGCCCCCCGCCCCCCGCCCCCCCCCTGGTGCTGGTATGACACCCAAATTGCCTGACGCAGCCTCGTGAACTATATTTAGCCCTGAACGGACGGAAAATGATTCCGCACACTAATTTCAAGCCGTTTTTTGCATACTTTATCCCTATACCGCGTGGTTGTGCACAGTTAACACCCCTCGAAAACACCTACACATCCACTACGGGTGTCGGCTTGTGGGCTCGTCCCGATCGAGATACGGAAGCCGCCGANGAGCGCGCGGACGCCGCGGTCGCCGATCAACTACTCCAGACGTTCGTTGGTCACGGCGATGGGGACGTCCTCCAGGCGAGGGCGGTCGATTTCCGTCACCTTCCTCTTCGGGCGCAGCAGCCGGCTGAGTGCCCGCTCCCTGTCCACCGGCCACAGGCCCGCCCCGGCGAAGGAAACTTTGTTGATTTCCGGCGTAAAGCTCGGACCCCACGCTAGCCCGATCATGCCGGCCATGTCCCGCTTCCGCGGTAGTGCCCCTCCGTTCCTCGCCGGGAAGGCCTGGATCACCTTCGCCAGCTCCTTCTTGAAGCACCCGAAGCCAGCGACGTCCAAGGGCTGGGTGATGTGGGACATGTGGGAGGGCAGCTGGACGAGGTGGATGTTGAGGGAGATGGCCAACTTAATGACGTCCAAGCTCACGTGCGACGCGTGCCCATCCAGCACGAGCACATGGGGTTTTCCGTCGAGCAAGTTGCGCTCGCCGAGCTGCTTGTGGAAGTTCTGGATGTACTTGATGAACACGTCACCACACATGAAGGACGACTCCGTGCAGTCGTAGTACGCGCCCGGCGGGTCGTTGAGATCGGCGACCCAATCTCCGTTGAAGCGTTGCCCTTTGAAGATGATGGTAGGGGCCAA